CAGGCCGCTCACCTGTTTTGTTATCACAGGAGAGCATTGCCACAGGCGGGGACGCAACTGGCAGAATCGTGGAGGCCATCACTTCCCTAGTTAAAGTAAGGTCTAATAATTATTATATTTCTAACTTTGACCCTCATCTTCACAATATCGACGTTTGGTGCGAAGAGGTGATAGGGCTAAAGAAACTAACGGATGGGACGATAACGAGTGTCTATCGCGAATCGGTAATTTTTTAAAGGGAGAAGCACGTGTGTGGCTTAACGAGTGGTCTAGCACCGATCGTTCATGGACGAATTTCAAACGAGAAATTAAAATGTTGTGCCCGCGAACCGTCGATATTGCATCTATTCTCTACGAAGTGATGACCAAAGATTCTAAAAGTTACGCCACTTACGCCGAATACGCCAGACGTTCATTGTTAAGGTTGGGTTTGGTTAAGGGAATATCTGACGAACTAATTGTTGCTATAGTATTGAGAGGCATCACAGATCCTCACATTAAAGCTGCAGCTACTAATGCAAAGCTACAACCCAACGATTTAGTGCAATTTTTGTCGATGTACGTAAAACCAAAAAATGATTTTCCGTCTACCCGCGATATATCTCGTGGATCGCGCTCTAGTCTTGGATCGACCATTACCCGACGAAATGAAAATAAAAAAGGGAGTTGGCGATTTAAAATGTCACTAGTGTGGAAGGTTTGGGCATAAACGCACGGACTGTATGAGTGCTAAAAGAACGCGACTAGGTAATAGTTTGGGGTCGTCACCGTCTAACACGCAGTCCGAAAATTCTGTAACATGCTCATTTTGCAAAAAGAATGGTCATGAAATTAGTAACTGTTTTATCAAACAACGTTCAGAGTCGACAAAACTCAACCCACACAATGTTAATTTTTGTAGTAAATTAGACAGTAACGTTTCAAAATCGACAATTACAAGTTACAAGCGCGGTAATCGAAGGCATACCGATTGATTTATTGGTAGACAGTGGTTCATGTAATCACTCGTATCGAGTTCCTTGTTAAAACACTTTAAGGCTAACCGAAAACCAACATATCGCGCCTTGCGTGGCATAGGAAGTCAGCTTATTGAATGTACCTCGTTTGTGACATTAATTGTAGAGCTACCACAAATATCTATCGAAGCCGATTTTTATGTGGTACCCCACAATTGCATCAGTACTCCGGTCATTATAGGCACCGATATTTTGAATCGTGAGGGCATCACATATATCCGACAGAATGGTGTTCAAATTCTGACCCGTACAGGCATACCTATAGCGGTAAACCATGCTTTCGGTATTAACCCACCTCTCATAGGTGAAGAGAAAGAACAGCTTTTGTTGATCATAAATAATTTTTCAAGGTTCTTTATAACCGGCACGGGTTCGACCACAGTCACGACAGGTAGTATGAAAATAGAAGTTTCCAACGAACCAGTATGCTATAGGCCGTACAAATTATCGTATGATGAGAAGCTTCGCGTTCGAAGTATAGTTAAAGACTTAATGGCTAAAGGCATTATACGTGAATCCGAATCACCATACGCTAGCCCCGTAATTTTGGTTAAAAAGAAAGATGGCACAGATCGAATGTGGGTAGATTATAGGGTCTTGAATTCACGTACTGTAAAGGATAAGTTTCCTTTGCCACCCATAGAGGATCACATAGATAGGTTAGGATCAAGTAGATTCTTTACGAGTTTAGATATGGCGACTGGCTTTCATCAGGTGCCTATGGAAGCAGGGTCAATCGCCAAAACCGCTTTTGTGACCCCAGAGGGTCACTTCGAATACATTAAGATGCCTTATGGACTTTCTTATGCTCCAGTATTTTATCAAAAGATCATTTCTAAGACGCTCAAATCTTTCATCGATTCAGGAACTGTTCTTGTGTACATAGATGACGTTCTTTTGCTATCCGATACGGTACCTGAAGGATTAGCCCTTCTACGACGAGTCCTAGAAACCCTTACTTTGTCAGGTTTCTCTATCAATCTCAAGAAATGTACCTTTCTTAGCAGTGAAATAGAGTATCTTGGGAGGGTTATCAGTAATGGTCAGGTTAGGCCGAGCATGCGTAAGGTCCAGGCTCTGGTCGATTCTCCAAAGCCTCGAAGCGTCAAACAAATTCGACAGTTCCTTGACCTTGCGGGCTATTTCAGAAGATATATTCCAAATTATGCCCAGCGAACAGCTTGTATCGCGCGTTTAACTAAGAAGTACATGCCGTTTGAGTGAGGAGTTGAACAAGATAAAGCTCGTTAGTATATTATCAACTATTTAACAAACGAACCCGTCCTTGCCATTTATGACCCTCGGTTACCTACGGAGGTACATACAGATGCAAGCGCTATCGGTTATGGTGCAGTCTTGATACAGATTCATGAGGGTGGGTTTAGGCGCGCAGTAGCGTATTTTAGTAAATCAACCCAAGGCGCGGAATCCAAGTATCATTCTTATGAATTGGAAACTCTAGCCGTAGTTAAAGCTCTCCAAAATTTTAGAAAATATCTGTTAGGTGTATCTTTCAAAATTGTTACGAATTGTAACGCTTTAAAGCTAACCGAGCGTAAAAAGGACTTGCTTCCCCGTGTAGCTAGGTGGTGGTTATCCATGCAAGACTTCCAGTATACCTTTGAATATAGGAAGGGGTCTCTAATGTCTCATGCCGACTACCTAAGTAGAAATCCTGTAGAGGTATGTCATATTCAAAACCCAAAAAATTGGGCCAAGTTAGCTCAATCCGCGGATGAGGAGACACTTAACCTCATCGATAGACTCAATAACGGTCAACTAGATTCTTCCCGGTACGTCTTACGAAACGGACTCCTATATGTTAAATACTTCCCATTGGCGAAGAAGCTCGCTTATTATGCTATATTCCCAAGGGGTTTAGACTGAGCCTACTTCATGTGTTTCATGATGACCAAGACCACATAGGGTACGATAAAACGTTGGAACTTATTTTACGTCATTTCTGGTTTCCTGGGTTACGCCCATTTGTTAGGAAATACATATCTCAAACATTGCATTGTGTGTCTGTCCCACAAACGAGTGCCGCGTGCTCCTCATCAACCCATCGAATCTTGGACTAAGCCAGATACACCATTTTCGGTAGTACACATGTACACGCTTGGTCCATTGCCTGAATCCCAAGGATATAAATACGTATTGATCATTATTGATGCATTTACGAAATATTGCCTTCTGTATTGCCTCCGTCGTCAAGACACTGACGAATTGAAAAAAGCCTTTACTGACGCGGTTTCGATGTTTGGGTCTCCGAGGATCCTAGTCACGGATCGAGGACGAATTTTTGAGAGCACCGCTTTTCAAGATATGTTAAACTCATTCGGTAGCGACATTCACTACATTACACCAAATATGCACCATGAGAATGGACAGGCTGAGCGTTATTGCCGAACTCCACTAAACTAAACCTTCTTCGTATTGAAGTCAACCATAGAGGCCAAAGTTGGTCTGATGTACTGTGGAAAACCCAACTTATTTTAAATAGTACAAAACACAGTACGGCTAATATGTCTCCCCTTCAATTGCTTATTGGAAGCGACTCTTCCATCCCCGTTATACGTGCTCTTGTCCGAGACGCATATTAATATCGGAAGGTAAATATTTTCTGTTAGGTGCATGTTCTCGTCTGTAATGTGATAGGGAAGGATGAAATGAATTAATGTGCTCAATTATATTTGGTTGCGCGGAAAACCATTCGCATTTATTTAATTTGACGGTAGGCTGCCAAATCGGTTATCCCATTCCAAAACGATATCATTCATACCCTCCTATCGACACATCGGGGTGGTGGGGTGGGAGGGGAAAGAAGATGATTCTAGAATATCACGTAATCATCGCAACCGAAGATATAAAAGGCACGCGCGACCGACGCGCGCCCTCTTCCCGCCGCGCTCGTAGTTGGAACCACACCACTAGTAGAACCGCTTTAGCCTGGAAGCAGTCGAGCTCCAGGAAACCCGCCTCACCTCGTGTGAGATATAGTCACGCACCGCCTCTCTCCGGAGTGTTCCAGAAAAAGTTCCAGAAGTCGCAGCTATAGTGCTCGACCGAATAGAAGAAACCCCGGTGAGTCAATATTCCTAATAATATCCTGCTTGATATAATTGTGTTTTAACCCGCTCCAATTTTGTTTTTCTCCTAATCAAGCAGGATTCCTTTCATCGATTTGGCAAATAATAGTTCGTTTTTAGGGAAGAGCGAGTGCATTGTACCGCATGCTATAGTTGCCGTTTATATAAGTGTAGAAACATTTTGTAGATACAGTCCACTTAGATTAATAGCTCGCGTAATAGGTTTAAGGTTCGACCGGGGAATTAGACTTCGGCAACCTTAGACACGCCGCTCCACCAATAATCGTGTTATCTATCTTTTTAGGATTAGGATTTGTGCCTCTCTTGTCCTTCGGTTCTTCATGGTCTACAGAATTAATAGCATTTCGAACGGATTTATCGTTAGACTTGTTAAATCCTAGTGTAGTTAAAAAAAACTTTGCAAACACTTAGTTTTTCTCTGTTTCCGTTCGAGAAGTAATAAAAAACAGACTTTAAACGTCTCGGGTCTGAACTATTAGTTGTACGTCTATCTGGATTCTTCTGAGATGTGTTACCTTTAATGAAGTATGTTTGTTCCTTCCAAGTCATATTACGAAACAATTTATTCAATGAGATTCTTTGACTTTCCGAAAATTTTGTTGAGCATTTCTTTTTACAATTTTCATCACAGCCTGGTTTAACGTACTATTTGGATTCATTTTTTAACTTCTTCATAAGTTCCTGCCGCACAGCTAGTTTTGTTGCATAATATTTCCGTTTTCTTATCGTCCCTTTCTTAGTAAGTTGAACTTCGACGTTTTGGTTTTCCTGAATGTTTGACTCCGGCTCGCTAACATCTTCAGATGATGTCTCGGATATACGGACGTTATTCAGCGGCTGTGAAGACTGTATAACATCGTTTTCAGAGTCTGAATCAAATAATTGCGGATATCCTGCCTTCTTTTTTTTGAGGTGGAACATAATCTTTATCTTTAACTGAATCATCCGAATCAAATTCAGTTCCCGAAGGTGAACTGCTGCTGCTACTATTGTTGCAGATTTCTTTAACATTTTTGTCATGACCAATGTTGTCGTTGATGGTAGTAGTGCTACAACAAGCTTGATCGATGGGACTGATGCTAATACTACCGTTGGCGGTACTGATGCTACAACAAGCTTCATTGTCCGGATTGGCACGGATGCTGTCAATGGCGGAGTTAGAGCTGCAACAAGTTTGCTCACCGGTACCAAAATTGTCGATCGAAGTAGCCGGGCTTTTGAGTACTAAATTGTTTGATAATGCTCTTGAAATAAGGCATAACCACGACCCACCTTCTTCATCTTTAGTTTTATCTAAAAAAATGTAAATACATTATCAGAAGCGTGAAAGCAAACCAAACCAAAAGCGTACGACGTAGATATACGTTATATTATAACACGTTCACCGTCCCAATAAAATATTTATAACTACCCACTTCCTAATCCTATACTTAGGTATGTTATAGCTACGTTTGTTATAGCGAACGTAGGTGTAAACTAACCTATACTCTATTTTTAGGTGCTTGTCTAAAGGTAAACAAAGAACTGTCACAAAAACACATTTAATTCGACGTTTTAAGTCATAATTTGGCAACTAAACGAAATATTTGCTATAAACAAACAAATTAGATAAATTCATGTATTTATTATCTATTTAGAAGGAATAAATACACAGGAGTGGTGGTGTCGGTACCGATGCTACACGCCAGACCTTAACAGGCGCTCAGGCGCAACTGAAGCGTTCCCGAACATTTCCCTTCCCCTCGCGTCCTTTGCATACAGCGAAACGAAATAGTAAGGGCACTTCTACTCACTTGCGTCTTTTTTAGTATTGATTGATATATAATTTCGTTCCACGGAAAAATAAAATGCATCTACCACATACGTCTATTAAAAGAAGTGGTGTACTAAATTGAAAAGACGCAAGTGGTAAATAAGTCTTTTTCTTCTAGTATTAGCCCAAATTTTCAAACGATTGAAAGGCGCAATAGCCAGTTACGTCTTTTCGTAGTCACACGCAGAACTTAATGAATAGATGCGTCTTTTTACTTCTCCATCAAAGTAGTTATTCATTGAAAGATTAGACTCATCTACGCAAATACGTCTTTTCATTTTACTTCGATTAAAATGTGTCCTTTCATCTTAGTTAAAGTATAAATAATAATGGAGAAGAGCCTTTCTTCACTGTGGTAAATCCTAAACTAAATGAGATAAATTAAAAACGGCAGTATTTCCACTAAATTTGGGAAAGTTCAACAATTAAATTACTCGTGTCGTCGTATAAGAAAAAAAATTACCTTCATTCGAAACTCCCAGAAGATTAATAAGCTTTTCCAACAATATTCTTTTCTTTGCCATTGTGTATAATAAAAATATTTAAACTAAAAATTACACAAAATGGCGAAATACGACTCGTAGTTTAGGCACGAAAAAACACAAATGACTACAGATAGTGCTGCCAGCTATGGTATGCTTAAGAAAATATATTTTTTTAATAAGCTTTGGATACTCGTGAATTGGCCTCGTCAAGACGCGACTACATAGTAAACACAGACGAGTCGTTAACGAGTATAATACGATAACCCACCTAACTGAAAACACACTGCATGTGTTAGAAATGCGTGCTTATTTTTTTCAACATTACTGTTACAATCGACACTTACGCTAATGTATGCATAGGTTTGGCTAGGTATAGTGACCTCTAATTTTGTAAAGACTGGAAATGTCGAACCATATTCAATTATGTTAAAACTGTTATTTGTGAAGATATCCCCTAAAGTATAGGTTGGAACAAATTTTACGCTATTTGACGTCGTAACTAAGATCACATTTTCTTGACTTATCATTGACGTCGTAACTAAGCTCACATTTTCTTGATTTATCATTGATTGTCCAATTATTAAATCTATGCCTGGTAGCTTGCAATCGGTTAAATCTACACTTCCTACGAAAAATAAATCATCAACATTTACAATAATTTGGCAGGTACCTAGCGAATATGAACAGGCTCCCCCAAAACCTCTCATTACAACGACCGAGGGCTGTGTTTAAGTTTCATTTTTCTGGCTTGTATAATAGTAAGTATGCTAAGCTTATTTCCAGTGTCTATATAGGCCATCAATTGATTACCATTAACAATGGGTAGATATTAAGCGTTATGTTTAATACGTCACTAACCTTATAAGCCTGTTGCTGCATGGGACCAACTCCAGAGTAAGTCGCAGTCCCGGCTGCATACCAGCATGCAGCAGTTGCGTGCCCGAAGCGCTGACACATACCGCAACGCTGCTGGCAGTCCTTCCTTTCATGTCCTGGTCGTCGACACACGTAGCAGATCTTGGGAACGAGCTGACGGCGACTCGAAGTAATTTATGTATTTTTTCTCCAGTAAGAGTTGCTCGGTATAAACGCCGACGTATCCCTGCGCTTAACGTTCTCTAGTGATGACAGATAACCGAAATATAGTTGTTCGGGCGTTTCACAATTGTAGGCTTTAGCATTAGCTCTCAATTCAGGTGGTAAGCCTCGAATAATACAGGAGATTGCATGTTCACCATTAATGTTGCATTTTTTGAGGAGTGATAACTTTTCATGATAATATTTAGTCATCGTTTCATCGTCGCTTTTTGATCTTGCCAGCATTATTTCTAGCCTGTCTACGCAGTCGGTAGATCGAGGAAAAGCAGTTTGAAGTGCTTCCTTCCACCCGTCACAGGTAAGCGTATAATCGTCAAGGTCATCGTACCACTCCCGAGCAGATCCTGCAAGGCGTAATTGCATTATAAATTGGCGATCTTTGTTATTCCACCCATATATGTCACCTAACTGGTGAATTTTATGAAGCCATCCAGTAACTTTGCTGGTTTGATCGTCTGGGCAGAATTTTGGTATGATTTCCTCGTCTATCGGAGACACACGACGCCTTTTCGCATGCATATAAATTTGTTTTTCAGAAAAAGAAATGTCTTCATCTTCTTCCGAGCTTGCAGTGTCTTCGTATCTTTGCTTATGCTCTCCTAACCCTCCGATATACGGTCCGGACATAGTAAATACGATCACACTTCTGAAGTTTTAATTAGTAGATATGAAGTAAAACAGATTACACAGTAGCACTTTTTACTCACTCGATCTAACGAATCACAGTAATTATGTATTATTCCTTGCTTAATGTAAATGAGCACAGATTTGAGCAGAGTAACTAACTTGTAGGCAGGAGACTCACAACTGAACTCCCACTAAAACACAGCAGTACCTTTTATAGTTTATAACGATGTTACGATTACCCACAACTTTTATTCTTATATAATATGTTACTCTACGGTTTTATAATTTATTAACCTTATAATCATGTATATAGGTGTAATATATAATAATATATTATATAGGTGTCGATGGTTTCAAATCCATTGGTGACAATCGCTTAAACATTTCGAACTTTATAATGTAGCCCATGTAAATCATATTTCTCATGAACTATCAAACTATAACAAAATTCAAACAAGTTAATTTTTCGCTGAATGCAAACTATAACTCATTTAGGAAGCTCCCAACATTTCCTTCAAGATTTGTTAACATATTTAGGTACGATAAGAAATTATGAAACTACTCGAGGGTACTTTTAACATACATCAAACAAAATAATTTATATTTTGGATTAAGACTTCACTTTTAACTTTCACTCTATATTTTAATGATGAACTTTATATCGCGAATTATATAGCGAATTTCATTAAACTTTTTACTTAAAAACAAAGGTATCAACGCTAAGCGCATTTTAATCTTTCACAATTCACTTTCACCATTTTACTAATTAAAAATTACATGTGAGCAATAACGAGGATTTTATCCCATGTGACCAATAACAGGGAATTTATCCCATACAAATTAAACGTGGACAATATCGGCGACTTTATCCCATGTAAGCGATAACAAAGTTTATCCCAAAAAATTAAATGTGGGAAAAAAAACGGGGCTTTATCCCACAATCACAAAATACACGGATCACAAGTAATGAACTATAATTTGTACTGAGACTAATTTAATAGCTGATAATAATAAGTAATTCGTTTCCACGAATTAATTATCCGAATAGTCAAGAATGAGCTAGTAGCGGGATACAACAAGTGAACCGAGCCACGCCAGAGCCATGACTGTCTTAACGGCGGCCGCTCCGTCCGTTTTATACAATCGAGACAAGTAGCTACCCGAGCGCCACTGCAGGTGCAATGCGCAGGTGTGCGGTGCACGTGTTGTTTACAATAACTCCGACTAGCCACTGAGGCGCTGCTGCACGTGCAGTGGTGCAGGTACCGAGATAGTCAAGATTAAGGGAACGTAAAATGATTTTTTAAAAACTATTTAAAATCTATTTATTTCTAATTACAATTATAATTATAACTACTTAATTAATACGTCTTGACAGAAGTCGATGTCAAAACGAAGTGGCCGCTCCCATGAGCTCTGCCTGATACCTCATGCAACCAAAAGCGCTGACTCTACAGTTACTGGATACTGTCTAATGCTTATGCGACCCCCTCTAAGTACGAACCGTAGCAACCCTATGGTCTTGTGGTTGCATAACTCCTCCCTCCCCAAGAGCGGAATTATCAGTCAGCCTGGCATTTATTTGTTAATATTTGGTTGCGCGGAAAACCATTCGTATTTTAATTTTATTCGAGGGTATGCTTGCCAAGCGTTGTCCTTCCTTCGACCTATCCCTTCCGTACACACCGGGGTGGTGTGGTGAGAGGGGAAAGAAGAAATTCTAGAATGTTACGTGATTTTGCAACCAATGAGAAGAGCGCCCGACTTCGGTGGGAAAGAAGCCGATATAAGCTCGCGCGCTGGGCTCGAGCGCTCTCTTGCCTTTGTGCCGCTATTTGCAACCACACCGCCTGGGACAGTCGCGTTCTATAGGGCTCTTGCCCACGCGCACCGCTAGTTTCGAAGGGCCGCATCCCTGGGGCCCCAGGAGCTCCACCAGAAGTCGCACCGCAGCAACAGAAGCGTCCAAGCCGCATCGAAGTCACACCCCGGTAAGTGTGTTTCTTTTTCCTATGATGCCTGCTTGAGTATTTGTTTGTTAGTTAATCCGCCCCATTTCATTCCTCCTAATGTGCTCAAGTAGGATTCATTCATAACCTTGGCAAACAATAGATTTCGGAAGAGCGAGTGCATTGTCAAGGAACCGCGGGCCACATCCGCCATCTTGTTGAGGCAGAAGAAGCTCCACCGCGTATACAGTCCATCTAGTATAGAGATGTTATAATATAATAGCGTAATAGGGTCAAAGGTTCGACCGGGGAATCGGAATCGGCATCCCTAAGGCCCGCCGCCCATCCAATATTATTTTATGGTTAGCGTATATAATCCAATTTACAGGGCCGATAGACTGGATTTTGACATCCTCAAGATCAACGAGCCGAGGTTCGCATAGTGTGAAATTGTTTTGGAATTTCATCAGTTGTTCAGCACATGTGTTTCTAGGATAGGATACCATGTTGGAGCTCATACACAGGAATTCATCCGCCGCTATTTCTGTGCACGGCCGGAAGACCGGTAAGTATTGTGAAACTTTCACCAAAATGTAAGGATACTTGGGAATTATTACAGACGTTCTGTTTCTAAGTGCATCGAATACAGGTAATGGGTATAATTTGTAATAATTGTAATTAAAACTATGAGGAAGTGGAACTTCCATCAAGTACGTAATCTGTTTTGCTTTCATGTAAGCTTTTATGACAATTGTTCTTTCAATCTACACTAAATTCTCTACATTTACAGGGTACACTAGGTTATCGACTTTGGCACTAACGGTTCAGATGAATTAATAATTGATTGGTGTTATACTGAAACTCTACTAAAAGCTAAAGCAGTTTCTATTTCACTAAGTTTAAGGTAAATACTACGAAAGTTACTAATAAACATATTATACATGTCTAAAATATACGTGTTATAAATTGAATTATTTTCTTTGGTAGCTATATATTTTACTATTCGTTCAATTCTTTTCAAGCGTTCATCTAATATTAGTTTATTTTCATGTAAAGTTTCTGTACTATTTGCCAAGCTATTCAGCAATATAGAAACAACGGTGATTTTACTATCAACACTTAATTGGTTGTTCTTTAATTTAGATATAACGGAATCGTATATAAGAGTATCGTCGTGATCTAAATTGCCGGTGATTGCTTTAATGACTGATCCTAGGGGATCTATGAGACCTCTTTTAAATCTATTGGATGGTACAAGTTGCTTAAATTTTTCAATAGTTAAATCGCAAGAATAATCAGCTTGGGTTTTCATGGCTTGGAATTCATAAGCATAAGGTTTATTTATATCAACTAACCTACTAAAAT